CTCTAGTATAGTCTATATTTTCCAACACTGTATGAGTTTTGAATAATCTGTGGCCATTATGTCTAACTATAAATTCTGACTTGTAGATTAGAAAGTGTGGTCACTTAAATTATAATTGAACTCAAGAGTGCAAAAGCTGATAATCTTTATCTTTCTTTTTCTGTACTGTAACTTTTTGTCATTAATTTTGAAGGCCTCATACTATCTCCTTAGTTACGTCTAGTTCTGTAATTGAATATAAACTACGAGAATGAATCCTTATACCTGAGAAGTTAGAATCACATTGGGAGAGGCATGAAGTATATAGAACATGATTGGGAAGATGTAATGACTTCTTTCTAAAGCACTGAATTGAAACTTAGGTAAGAATTGAAACTTAGGTAAAGACTTAGTAGAATTGAAACTTAGGTAAAGGCTTCTGGAGGAAGTCAAGCAGGCTCATTCCAATTTCAACCAGTGCAGTTAACATGATCAGTGTTAAGTATGGAAGTGTGCATAATATTTCATTTGAGTGCAGGGTTCTGTTGTTGAAAATAAAGTGTGATAGCCACTATCATTAGCACATTTGATCTCATCACTGTCCCTCTTAAATCCTTGCAATGGTTGGGTCTTTTTATTATGACTTCTAAGACACTTATTTATCTAGCTCCAGCTTCATCTTCATCTCACATCACTGTTTCCCTGGCTTACCTTGTACACCTTGCATTCTGGTTCAATTTAAATTGCTTGTTATTCCCTAAGAGGAAAATGTTACATCTCCATGCCTTTGCACATGGAACTGCTGTCATTCTTGCCATGTTAGGTGGAACTCTGTTCCCTTGGAACCTTGGTCATAGCTCCCTAAAAGCACTTACTTTCATTGTTTTGTAACTGTGGCCTCCCTTGAGAGCAGAGACCATCTAATTTATCTTTGTATCCATACTACTTGGTGTTTGTTAAGTATTCAAAGGTCTGTTGAATAATTGCGTTTAGAATTTGAGAAGTAGTAGAATTACGTTAATGCACACTCATGTGAGTAAAACATCCCAGATCTTGCCAGTGCAAAGTATTTATAGTGACATAGTGTCGCATACTTATGCTTTATAAAAAGGCTCCCACTTACACATATGAAGAATAATAAAGCCAAAATATATATTACATAGAAAGATTAGATTAGATTAGTTGTGCTATTGGCTTAAATGAAGTGATGTATTGGATTCAGTCATCTGATCTTAAAAGTTGTGAAAGCATCTATAATAATAAAAGTGTAATATGCTAATTAGACCAGACAGCTGAACGTCCTTCCAGATGTCCTTCCAGATGAAGCTGTGGTGGCGGGGGCCAAGGCAGAAGCAGTTAGGGGAGATCAGGCAGGCAGGCAGGCAGGCAAATGGTTAGGGGTGGTCAGGCAGGCAGGCGAGCGGTTAGGAGCCAGCCGTCCCAGATTGTGAGAGGGATGTCCGACTGCCGGTTTAGGCCCAATCCCCAGTCGGACATCCCCTGAGGGGCCCAGATTGCGAGAGGGTGCCGGCCGGGCTGAGGGATGCATGCACACACACACACCCATGCGTGAATTTCATGCACCGGGCCTCTAGTTTTAATAGTAATTCTGTACAGTCTTGATTGCCGATAAACATTTTTCTTCATATATGATTAAAGCTAATAAACTCAAAAAAGGCCTTCAAATATCAAAGTATGGATTTTAGTGATAACTACCCATAGAGGTTAAAGAATGGGTCCTGAAGCAGTCCTGCCTGAATTCATATCCCTTTCCCACCTGCCCATAGCTGTGTGATCCTGTGCAAGTTACTTAACCATGCTGTCCCTCTCTTTTCTGACCTGTGAAATGAGGATGTTGATCATACTATTTTAAATGGCTGTGGTGAAGGGTATACATGAGTTAATGTATGTTGAGCACTTAAGTATGCCCAACACACAGAAAACATTCAGTATATGTTATCTATAATTAGTTTCTAGTGGCTTCTTAAACAAATAAATGTTTATTGTGCATCATTTCCATCTATTAAAAAGAGTTGCTTTAATACACAAGTATCTAATTTAAAAGAAATTTAACATTTTAGTTAGTTATATTTTCAAACTGGCAACTATTTTATCTATTTACTGACTCATTCTCCCACCTCCCAGTGGAATGTAGACTGTTTTTGTCAGAGGGGTTGACATGGGAGATTTGAAACTATGTTCTCCTGATCCTGCCGCAGAGCATTGTGTTCCCATGACCTGTGCAATTCTTGGTAGTGCCCACAAGAGAGGAGAGATAAATAACAGGCTAGGCATCCAGTGACAAGTTCAACAAGCCTTAACCTGTACCAAATATGTCCTAAACTCGCATGCTCCCTTGCAGAGGATAGGTGTTCAGCTTTTTTTTTTTTTTTTTTACATTTTCGTTTACTTTTTTAGCTTGGAAGAATAGATGTTTAAAAATCTGAATGTACATTCATTCCAAAAAGGCACATACAAATTTACTTTAAAAGTCAATGAACCTTTTTTTTAAGTTCATATTTTATCTATGTACCTACAGTGAGGGCAATAAGTAGGGTGTTAGTAATTTATGTTAGTACAGTGAAATCCTGTTAAATATGTTCATTTAGGATGCAGAGAAAAATTTAAGTGAAGAAGAAATTTGTATCCCAAGATATTTTGCAAAGAGTAGCTATAATAAGAAATGAAACACACATAATACTCAGTGTGTCTTTATGGCCTGCTATGGCTTTCTCGTGTGTAACAATCCCTATATAATAAAAGCCTAATTTGCAAATCGACCAAACGGTGGAATAACTGGTTGCTGTGATGCACACTGACCACCAGGAGGCTGACGCTCAACACAGGAGCTGCCCCCAGCCCACAGAGGGAGGTGACCAATGGCAGGGGGCGGAGCCAGCCAAGGCGGGTGCCAGTGCCGCCCCCCCCCCCCCTCCATCGCCCTGCTGGTCACCCCACAGATCGGCCCTGATTGCCTGCCAGGCCTAGAGACCCTACCTGTACACAGATTTCATGCACCGAGCCTCTAGTTAAAATATAATGAGAAATTAGTGCATAACTTTAAACTATTTTAGTAAAGGAAGAAATTTTGAAAAACACTTTTGAGTTTACTATACTAATTGAGTGATTTTAACATGAGGGGTTGGGATATAAAGATAAGTCAGGTGTTATCTTTATACACTACTTATCACCTACTGGGGAGACCAGAGTGTGCAGACAATGTGTGGGGAAATGGAAGCTGGAAATGGGGGGAAAGTGCTAGATTTTGAATAGAGTAAGGAAACAATAAGACAGTAGCAAGGGATCATTTTTAAATGCCAGTGGCATGTGTGTAATAGTCTCCCATGGGAAAATTGAATACTTACTCAAGTTGATCGATACACTAGGAATTGTTGTCTTGTAATTACAACACTAGCTTAGTATTAGCAAATTTTTGCTTGATTGCCATTGTAGGAACTTGTAAAATATTTTTTTTGCACCTCCTTGGAAATTACAGGAGTTAGGTCATACCAGGAAAAACAACGTGCAGAATTCTGTTTTGACTAAGCCTATTTCCTCTGTGCAAACCAAGACACTGTGGCTGTATTTAATGTTATCTAGCTGGAAATTTCATTTCCCTTCCCCAGCATGCCTTTCGGTGCCTGTTAAGCCAAACAACTCCTTGTTTTACTTTTTACTTCAGTTCTTGTTTCTTGTTGTTATTATTAGTATTACTATTTAATCAGAAAAGAGAAATACTGTTTGGACATTTTCAAATGCCTCAAAAAATGCTCAGTTACATGCAGGAGTAAGTTAGAGTTGTTCCACCTATATTCATCTCTATCATGTTGTCATCCACCCTTCTTGTTTTAGAATGTTTCCAGTTAGAAATAACTTCCCTTTGAGCTAGATCTGTTTCCCTAACTTTCACTTCCTGGTCTTTGGCAATCTGGAACTATGTATGTGACAGTCTTCTTACAAACAGTAACCCTTAAAGTATCTGAGAATGACTGTTAAATCCTACTTAAGTCTTTTTGATGTGCTAAGGGGGAAAAGCCCTAATTCTCAAACCATATGCACATGACATAGTATTCAAACCTTTCTCCATCCACATCGCTAAACTCAGGACAAAGTCTGTTTGTCACTATACCTCTTAAGGCATGGCGGCCAGAGCTGAACTGACTACTTCCGATGTGGCTGGACAATTGCTGAAGACAATGAAGCTATTAACTGGATACTGTGCTTCTATTAATGCAGCCTGAAATCTGCATTAACATTTTCTGGCAGCCACATTACCCTTTGATCATATTGAGCGTATGGTCAACTAAAACCTTCTTGTTTTTTTCCTGTGAACTGCTCTAAGTCTAATCTTTCTTATTCTTGCCAGTTGATGCTTTAAAAGTAAATGCCAGATATTATGTATTGCATTATATAAAAGTTGAAATGAATTTACCTTTATCAAATTTCACCCTATTGGACTATGTATCTGAAGATAACAGCTAAAGCACAGTTTTCATGGGGCTTTCACAAATATTTTTATTTAATCTTTGCAACAACTATCCAAGAGTCAGAAGAGAAAAATTACTTTCCACTAAGTCAGGAATTGGCAGACATAACACTTCATCCCAGGCTTGTGATTCCAGGTCCCATGCTCATCTCATTACTGCGCACCGTGTAAGCATTCAGCTTGTCCTTTGCTGTGTGGCCAGCACCCTGTGGCTGGTACATCCAGTGAACAAGACAGAGTACAGTCCCTGTCCTTCCGTGTTGATGGCCTGGGATATAAATAATTACCTCCAGGCACTGAGCACGTTCTGTTGGGAGGCTCTGGTAAAATGTAGTATTGTTCAAAATGTTTGTGCCTCTCGACCAGGGTCCTCTCTGCAGGAGGACTATATTTCCCACTCTGTTGACACCAGGTTTGGACACTTGGTTTTCCTTGACCAGTGAAAATGTTAGAGGAAGTGACATGTCAGGCATTTGAGCAGATGTTTTAAACTCCGTTTCATGGTTCTGCTGGTCGTCTTTTCTTTCTCTCATAGAACCAGCATGCTTTGGCTAGGGCCCGTCCCAGGACGATGGAGCCTTCAGACTGGGTCCCAGGATGTTGGAGCCTCGCTGAAGCTGATTCACAGTAGACGTTTTATGTAAGTGAGAAACAAATGCTTGTGTCGTAGGCACTGTGATATTAGAGCCATTCGTTACCATGGAGTTATGTAGCCCAAGCAAAGTGTATTCTGACAATATTGCAGGTGCTCTAGGAAGATCAATAAGACTTGTGCTCAAGGAGCTTGCAGTCCAGTTATTGGTAGTTGATGAAGAAGCAAGTATCTATATGAAAAGGTCTTTGAATTTGAGGATCTTTCCTGACCTTTACCTTACCCCTAGGCTGAATTTGTTGGTATGTTTTAAATCCTGGGTCTGTGGTCCAGCTACTTACTGTCACAACTTATCTCCAAAATTTGATAAGCATGTTTTCTATGTCCTTTTGTGAAGCAAATGTTTAAGAGAAGGGGCTTCTACAGTATAGCCATCAGAAACTTTCTTCATAAATCTATTAATCAGCACTTACTAGGTAACCTAAGAATCTGTCTAGTTGAATTATTTTGCCAACATATCTAGAAAAATATTATGTGATCCTAGGTTCCATGTGAATTTTATTTGTGAGCATTCAAATTTCTCATTGCCATAGCTGTGCCATACCCCTCACTCACTCTGCAGGGGGTTTTAGAGACAAACCCCAGGGGAGGATTCTGTGAGAAATTCCCTTACCTGAGAAGCTGAGGAGTACATGGCCAAGGTTCAGGGGTGCTCTTGAAACCTGTGAAATAATTACATGTAAATCTTTATGTAAATACACATTGTTCTGGGCCATAACTTTCATCAAATTACCAAAGGGAATTGTGAGTCTCCTGGAAGCGTATATCCCTGCTATAGACCGAGACTAGAATACACTGGAGAGCACACATGTTTAGGGACAGGTGGGCCAGAAAGTTCTAGAGTTTTGCATGGATTCTGCATCCATTCTCATGGCCCTTCTTTCTCATTCCTTAGAAATTACCAAATTTGCAGATGCATTTAATGTCTTAGAATGTGATTTTTCTTGATCTATAAATATGAATTAAAAGCAATTCCTTCTTTTTGCTCTCTCTTTCCTATCTCAAGCTTCAATTTCTCTTTATCCCTTTAATCCTTATTTACCCTTCCCAGATTAAAGATTTTTTTTCTTGTTTAAAAAAAGGTGACTCAAAAAGGAGTGAAATAGTTTTAGGTTATCTTTGGCAATTGATCCTAAGTAAGGCTTTATTTATTTCTGCTGAAAAGGCATTTTTAAGTCTGGACATTTTTCCTTAACACTTCCGATGAAAAGAAATTTTTTTTAATCCTCACCTGAGGATATTTTTTCCACTGCTTTTTAGAGAGAGTGGAAGTGGGGGCTGGGGAGAGAATTATTGATGTGAGAGAGAGACAGCTATTGGTTGCCTCCTGCACGCATCCTGGGGAACGAATCTGCAACCCAGGTATGTGCCCTTGACTGGGAATTAAAACCACGACCCTTTGGTGCACAGATTGACACACTAACCATTGAGCCCACTGGCCAGGGCTCAACTTTTTAAAAACAACTGTATTGAGATATAATTATTATACTTAAACTGCACATATTGAAAATGTACAATTTTATGAACTTTGACATATGTTTATACACATAAAACCATCACCATAGTCAAGATACTGAATGTATCTATGACCCCCAAAAGTTTTCTAGTCTCTTGGTACTCCCCTACCTCCCTGTATTCCCCAGGCAACCACTATTTGTTTTCTTTACATTAGTTGGCATGTCCTGGGTACATTATGCAGTCATTTTTAGCCTAGCTTCTTTTCATCCAGGATGATTATTTTGAGATTTAGCCATTTTGTAGTGTGTGCCAATCATTTCTTTTTATTGCTAAGTGGTTTTCCATTTTGCAGACATGCTGTAGTTTGTATATTCTTTCACCTCTTGATAGACATTGGGTTGTTTCTAGTGTTTGGCGTTTAGAAATAAAACTGCTGTTGCCCAGCTAGTGTGACTCAGTGGTTGAGCATTGATTGACCCAGGAACCAAGAGATCACCAGTTAGATTCCCAGTCAGGGCACATGCCCAGGTTGCAGGTTCAGTCTCCATTAGGGGGCATGCAGGAGGCAGCTGATGGATGTTATTTCTCTCTCATGGATGTTTCTATTTCTTTCTCCCTTCCTCTCTCTTTAAAAATCAATAAAAAAAATATTTTTAGAAAGAAAGCTGCTGTGAACATCCATGTACTAGTATATGCCTATGTATGGACATATGCCCTCATTTATCTTGGGTAAATTCCTAGGAGTGGAATGGTTGAATCATATGGTAGGGGTGAGTGTGTGTGTGTGTGTGTGTGTGTGTGTGTGTGTGTAAGAGAGAGATTTTTAAGAAATTGACTCACATGATTGGAGGAGCTGGCAAATTCAAAATCCACACAGGACTGGCCAGCAGGCTAGAACCTCAGACGAGAGTTGATGTTGCAGTCCTGAGTCTAAAATCTATAGGGTAGGTCAGCAGGCTGGAAACTCAGGTAGGATTTCTGTTCCTGTCTTGACACAGAATTCCTTCTTCCCCAGAAACCTCAGGGTTATTTTTTGTTCTGAAAGCTTCAACTGATTGGATGTGGCCCACCCACAATACGGAGGGAAATCAGTGTCAACTGATTGTGAATGTTAATTACATTACATCTACACAATACTTCCACAGCAACACCTAGACTCGTGTTTGACCAAATATCTGGGCACAAAGCCTAGCCAAATTGATGCTTAAAATGTAACTGTCACGATGCCTAAACATTCTTAAGTCCAGTTTCTGGTTGTTGCTACTTCACTAGTTTTTGTTTTTAATTGTAGCCTTCTTTTCACTGGTCTTAAACAGATGAAACAGGCTTTTCATTCTGGGTTAGCATCACCTTCCATCTTTTCAGTCATATCCTTTAAAAATGTGAATTATTTCAGACACTTCCTAATGTCATTACTTAACCTCTTTTCTTGTTTATTGGAACCAGCTGACAGAATTGGCAGTTTCATTTTAGAATCTGTCATACCTCATTTGAGTCATCTTTTTATTTTTTTCTTCTTCTTCATAGGGTTATAGCAGTTCTTAAGTATTTTAGAAGTTTAAAATGTAGGTGGATTTAGAGTCTAGAACCTAGGTAATTATCAGAGTGGAGGTGCTGATACCCAAAAAGGAAACCGAAAGTTTGGGAGTAAAGCCCTAGCCAGGTGGTTTGGGTGGAGCTTCATCCAATACACCAAAAGTTGTTTGTTCCACCATGTCTCAGACATGGTAAGCACTAGATGCGTGTTAATTGTTCCTATTATTCATGTGTACGTATAATACATTTTAAGTGGCTGGTTTTACTGGTGAAGTTTTCATAGAGAATTTGGCATTTGAACTGGACCTTGAAGGATAAGCAAGATTTATAAATTGAAAATAGGAAAATCTATGTGAACAAAGTTGCAAAGAGGAGGTAAAGAATCTTCTTCTCTCGCCCTCCTCCCCCCACCATTTATCACATACTGTCTGTGCAATGGGAGGCAACCGATTGATGTTTCTCTCTCCCTCTCTCTAAAATTAATAAACATGATCCTTTGTGCAACCATTAAAAAAAAAACTATACAAAGAAATACAGTAAAATTAATAAACATATCCTCAGGTGAGGGGAAAAAATAGAAAGTTTGGGTGTAAAGATACAAGTTCATATTTTCGGCATCACCTTTATGCCATTCTCTTTCTTTGATCAAGTCATTAACTTTTTTGAGCCTCCATTCTTAATGTGTAAAATGAAGCCATCACAAAGTTAAGTGAGGAAAGCTAAGCAAGGTTGCTGCTCTCATAAAGCTTCTGTCCCTGTCCCAGTGGGTTGACAGGAGAGGCAAACAGTAAGTAAAGGAACAAACAAACTACGTAATTTCAGTCATGATAAGAGCTGTGAAGAACATCAGAGAAGGAGATGTACCCGCCCGCCCCGATAAAGCTCTTCCCTGGGTAGGCAGGGAAGACTGCTTTGAGGAGGTAACCTTTGAGTGGACCCCAGAAGGATAGGAAGGAACCAGGCATGTGAAGATCTGTGTGACAAGTTGGCAGAGAGAAGCCTGGAGATGGCAGAGGATGGCAGGGGAGTCAGAGGGCCAGCTCGTGCAGTGTCTCACAGGCACTGTGAGGACTGGGTGTCATTCTAAGTGCCAAGGGGAGCGATTGCAGGGTTTCAGGAAGGGCCATGGCACGATCATTAGATGGAAATGTTGCCGTGGGCCTTTGGAAATACGAACCTAGCTCTGAGACATCAGCAACCTACATACTTGAGTATCACTTGGATTTCTAGTTGCCCAACTTATATTAGCGTAAACTATTTATTTTCCCAGATATATAAATCCTAGACATACTTGATCAAAGCCAAGTCTGGGTTGTGTAAAACAAATACTATTTTATTTTATCTTTTACATTTTGTTAAAACTTGTTATGCACTTACATGTATTTTCAAAAATAATGTTCTGTGGATTGTTTTTTATATGTGGCAGTTGACTAGCATAGCAGTAAAGAACACAACTTTGGTTTCAGGTTTATTGACCACATAGAAGCACTCAGCAAGCATTGACATGTCTTTATTACTAGAATACAGTGCCATCTTACAGTCATGGAGTTATTGAGATGAAAGGACTTTAAGAATTATTTAGTCTTAACTTCTTCCTTTTATAGAAGAAACAACTTAGATCCAAAGAGGTTAAATGGCTCACATTATATAAACACTAGAGGCCCGATGCACAAAAATTCGTGCAAGAGTAGGCCTTCCTTCCCCCGGCTGCCAGCACCGGCTTCCCTCCGGCCCCGGCTTCGTCCAGAAGGACGTCCGGTCTAATTAGCATATTACCCATTTATTATTATAGATAAAAAAATAAAAATAAAATGAGACTCCCAGTCATAGGATGAAAGGTTCTTGAGACAGAATATGGAACCAAGGAAAAGACAGTGACATCAGTTTGCTTACTGTGTGCTGCCTTCCTTGTTGCTCGTACGGTATTTTACACTTATCCCTTAACTAAAGCTGTTGGGATGATTAGACAGCCCCTCCCTTAGTGTGGAAACAGA